GTTGCCAGAGAAAGGGGCTCCGGGATTCACCCTTCAGGCACATCTGCAGCAAGGTCCCTCCGAAAGCTTTTCTCTCTTTTCCGAAGCTCCTGGGAGATGCCAGCCAGGCCGGGCACACTTCTCAGGCTTGGGTGGGCTTCTTGATCCCAACCCCTGCCCTGGCCTGACCTCCAGGAGGAGTGATGGAGGGCTGCTGGGAGGAGGAGACCACCATTCCATTCTCCAGAGCACAGGCAGGGCCAGCCTCAGGGTTAGGCCTCAGGTCAGGGTCCTGACAGAGGGTTCACCCCAGGCCCTGAGCCCCAGAGGGGTCCCAGGTGCTCGATCCTTCTGTGAAGGGTTGGAGAGAAGAGAGGTGTTTGGATCCTCCTTGGTTTTCTCCTTCCCAGCAGCCCTGATGGGGACCTCACAGAGCAGTGCCACTGATGGAAAGCTCAGACCCAGATGTCAGCATGGGATGGGGACCAACCCACAGCTGGCCAGAGGATGTGCAGGCTTCCTCAGAAAACTCCTCGGCTCCACCAGGGCTGTGCCGCTCCCAGAAGGCTGACTTTTATTATAAGAAAGAACAATTTCTATAAACGCGGAACACGTGGCCAGGGGCACAGACCCTCGGTTATAGCTGGAGTCCTGGCCGCTCAGGCTCTTGTGAGTTTTGCCTTCCATCCTCAGGAACACTCAAAATGCTCAGCAGGTTTTTCAAAGAGGACACATAGGACAGGTCAGTGAAAATCAGGAGAAGAGGAAAAGAGTGAAAAACGCATTTTGAATGTAGAAATTCAATAACACACATTTTACAACCAAGTCTTAGATGGAAAGGTGCTTTTTCAAGTTCCGAGTGCTTTACCCTGTGTGATCTTGGAAAGGTAAAAAAAAAAAAAATAACAAAACTGCATTTGGCAGTGGGGGTTTGAAGAGCCAATGTTTTTATTTCGATAATTAAAGTCCGGATTAATAGCACATTATACCATAAAATGTTGGCTTTTTAAAGCAGGTTTGAACTTTCACACATTCTGTTTTTAATCCTGGCACGTACACCTGTATGCATACATACTGACAATAAATATAGTTCAAATTCTTGATTTAAAAAATTTGATAAAACTAAAATGTTAAATGTACGCTTTAATGAAAACACTGCTGTCACACCAACCAGGGGGCTTGTATTCTTTGGAAAATTATTTAAAGCATTTCGAATTAGAGTGGTAACATTTTTATTGAAAGAACTACCTCTAACCATAGACAAAGGCGGCACTTTGGCCCAGCGCAGTGTTTCTGCAATCTGCCTAACGGTAAGAATAACCGAGGGCTTAGTAAGAATATTGCTCTGTGGGCCCGTCCTAGTCCTTCTGAATCTGAATCTCTAGAGGCGAAGGCGGGAATCTCCACTAACCCAAGGAATTCTTATGATCAAGTAAGTTCCAAGCTCACCCTGCTAAATGGCGAATGGTTTTGGAAGTTAATTATTCTTAAAGTGTAAGTGGATAGAATTAGTATATTTGATGGGTTTTCATTTTTTAAACACTTTAAAACTACAAATCGCATTTCAAATCATAGGTTTATGTTCACTGAAAAAATATGTATCATGTGTGACAACAAAATGTAACCACTGACCCCTTCTTGCCTAATTCGTTTGCAAAAGGCAACAATTGATGTTCTCATCTAAATGTCAGTAGTTTTAAAAATACTCTACTAAAACCATATAGACTTAAAAATAGTCAAAGCCTCTATAGACCCAAATATCAAAGTAGTGTTTTAGAAATCCCTATATCCTAGAAATACAGGAACTTAAGATATTCAGGAAGTCTTTTTGCACAAACCTACCTGACTTTTGCCTACGGCGAAAAGATGGATGAAAATTAATAGATGGATTCATAAAACAATTGGCAGAAAAGAGTGGCCTGGTGGCCCCAGCTATGCTGCATCAAGGGCCCTACTGTAGGGGGAACGTTATGTTTGTTACCTTCTAGCATCACAGCAGCTCTGCAAGGTGGGCACCATGACCTCCCTTTGCGGGTGGAAAGGCTGAGGCTTCGAAGGGTAAAACTTGCCCAGCACCACGCACCTCAAAGCTGGGTCCCACGTCTGTTCTGCAGCCTGTGTGACTGTCTCCCTCTAAATGACCCTAAGGCAAAACAGCAGTCGTACAGTCACCTCTATCTTACTGAAGCCAAAAGAAAATGAGATACTGGTGAGTACAGCAAGCACATTTAAATATATCCTATTTGCAGTTTCTATTAGCGTTATCTGACATCTATCTAGATATGGCGTCTATTTTCCTTCTCTGTGTATCACTAAAATAAATATTCATTTAAAGCAATTATGAGAATCTCAATCCACTTAAAATTTATTAAATCAATTTGTAAGCATGTGCAAATTCTTTTCCAACAAGAACTTCCTAGCTGTACAAATAGTGGCCCCAGGTTAATTTTTACAACTCCATTCTATGTAACCGAAATTTTTTCATACTTGGCAGAATAAAAAATTGTAAAATCTAAAGAATTTTCCAAAGTCATTCTAAACTGAAATGTTCACAATTCCATAAAGGTAAGTTTTCAAGAGAATCAGTCATTTAACTCCTAACTTCTAGGAAAGTATCTCCATATTTGTGTGATTTGATTCTTAAAAAAATGAAAGCATCCAAATTTAAAGTATTTGGGATATAGGGGGAAAAAACAAGACACAGATTCAAAGTGATTATTCTTGATTCTTGATGTCTTTTCAATCTACTTTACCTGAGGGCAACAAGCTTTGATAAGTTGAGAATACATTGCATAATTAGCCATGGAGTAAGAAATATTTGGCCCAGAAAGGTACAGTATGACTTTAACTTAAAATTGCATTACGTCCCAAAATTCTCCAAAATTTGAATTTTCAAGTTTTAAGAACCCAGTGGGATTTGAGGTGGATAAAACTTGACAATTCTTTCACAGTAATACTATTAATAGTTGCCGAGCCTCTCTAAAAACATAGCTGATACAGATTTTACACACAAGTCTGGATGTTTTTCTGTTTTTGTTATATAAGCTTTCTCCCATGGCAAATGTTGGAGAATTAAACAGATTGGCCAATTGCTTTATTTTTTAATGATTATATCTTTGCAATCACTAGTTTTGTCAATTTATTTTTCCATGAGAAAAATCAACATTTAAAGAGTCCAAAAATAAGCTGATAAAATTACCTGATTGTTTTTAGGAGACATTTACAAACTTAGCTCCCTGTTTTTTTTGAGAGAGAAAATATCATAGGGAAGTAGAAACAACCAGCGCCCTCTCCCTCCAAAAAAAACCCCACAGGCTATAGATAAAATTAATAAAATTACTGTAAGAATTTGTCTTATTTTTAATGCATGGAAAATAGCAAAATTATCATGCCAACATAAGGTATATATACTATAATTCATAAATGCCTAATTATCAAAATAATGACATAGTCATGGTTAGATGCAGTCTAGCAATCTTATATAAGATGCAACTACATATTGTATGATCATTCTGTTATATATTACATTCAATCCTCATCAAATTAAGCTATGTATAAATGGCATTATGAAATAAACATTTAATATCACAACAGAGTCTTATTTTGCTACTGTACAACCATGGCATGCAAGTAACTATGCATTAGCTGTAAACAGTAAAGTGTCATTACCTTTCAGAAATCCAAAGAACGAGAAAAGTACGTACATAGTACTAAACATCAATTATATTTAAATTACTTTCATATTGAACCAAACTGTATTGTATACAGCAGTCTTGGATATCTCCCTCACGGTTCTTACATATATCCTGTAGTCATCCTGAAGTTAGGAAACGCAATTCCAAACTACTTCTGTTAATGCTACTGAGCTTTAGCGAACCGTGGTAATATTAGGACACAAATGATTCTAATGTTCCAATGTGAAGGCTGTTTTATTGTATTTTTCCTTTCCGCCATAATTCAGAGTTTTGAGTCATTAAGAATAAGCTGAATGTGGGCAATAATGAATGTATTTTCTCTCATGACACCGATGCGTTCACGTTAGAAGTAGGAATGCTGTTGATGTCCACCAGCGAGCGCGATCCTCTGCTTGTGTTCTACATGAAATAGTTGGCAGGAACAAACTTGGGTCATGTCATAACTTGAGAGGGGTCACCTCTAAAATACATTTCATAACATTTGTAAAAGGTAGATAAAATCTAGCAGTTAGGAGGGGAAGGCCAAAAGAAAATGATTTGTTCTTACAAAAGTGCAGACGGATCATTTAGGTTTGATCCAGTGATTCCGAGGCAATTAAAACCATCACCATATTGGAGCAGACGCTTGTACACTGGAACGTAACTATCGCAGCCCTCTTCACGTTGTGGTATTGGAGGCTGTTTTTTGGAAGGAGGGGAAAAATTGATTGCTGGACAGGCTTCTCCATGCTCTATCAGCTCTGATAATGAGTTAGGCAGTTGGCATGGACGACAGGAATGTCCTCCACACTCAGAATTCTAATAAACCTCCTGTGAAGTTGTACCTACCATCCATCCAAATGGACTCAGTCTGGTCTGCATTCCAGTTAGGTGGAAAACTGTCACGTTTTCAAACTAAGTCTGGACGTGATATGGTCATGTGAAATATTTAAATACATTACCTACATCCTACTAAATCAAAATCTTGCTTTCACATTTACAATGAGATAAAACAGCATTTAAAACCATTGCAATTCGTTCATTTCCTGTTCATACACAGGTGATTTAAGTTTGCTTATGAGGCAAAAACTGTACAATTCTTATCATTCAGGCATTATAAAATGTCTTTCTTTAAAGTCTTGGATATAAACAGTTGATTTATACGAATTACATATTTTTCATCTGCATTAAGAAACAATATACATCTTTTTCCAGAGTAATTTAATGTTAGCTATAATAAGCCTAACATAGTTGTAAAAACTGACTTTATCACCTGTGACCATCTATATTGTTACTTTTATAAAACTCAGGAACATTCTTTGGCCACTTGGGTCATTGCCCATTTGGAGGAAACTGTACTTGGGTCCCGGATCATACACAGATTTGCCACCATAAAATCTGAGGCCATAGAACAGCTTTTGACAGAAGCCATTTACAAAATAAAACATTACAGAATATACAGGAGTGGTCTCCATTTCTCAGACACAAGTTCCTTGACGTGTCGAGAGGTGTTTTCGATTTCGGACTCCCGAAGTCTTGTCTTTACTATCTGCAGGCTTCTGTTGTGAAATGTCTATTAGGGCACTGGCAATTGCAAGGCCTGGAAGAAAAAGAGGAAGGCATTTACATGCTTGCTTAGACATTTCTGCGATGGCGACGATGGTGGCTTAGTGCCCTGTTTTCTATTGCTTTACATTTAGTCATCAAAGGTTTAGCTGTTTATTGGAAGTTATCAAGCAGTTTGCCCTTTGTCTAAAATGTTTCTTAACTTGGACCGTGAACTTCACACATGAAGAAGAACAAGTATCGAAGAAAGTTAACTGACTCTGATTTTGGACAACCAAATTCAGCATTTGACAAAACATCACCTTCAGTTGTGAATATGACTCCATACTTTAGTATCTGTGTCTAAACACAAGTTTGCTCTGGATGTACTAGAAATTTTCAAAGTTACTACTTCGTGTTTTTTTTTGTTTGTTTGTTTTTGCTTTTTAGGAAAAAAATCTCATCAAGATTTTTAAAAAAATTTATAGCAGTGTTAGGTTTACAGAAAAACTGAACCAGTATTGATAATAAGATTATCGACTAAAGTCCAGAGTTCATATTAGGGTTTTACTCTTTGTATTGTACGGTTCTGTGAGTTTTAACAAATGTATGTCAAGTATCTACCATGATGGTATCATACAGAATAGTTTCACTGCCCTAAAAATCCCCTGGGTTTCATCCATTTATCCTTCCCCTTCCCCAAGCCTCTGGCAACCACTGATCTTTTTTTTAATGTCTCTGTAGTTTTGCCTTTTCCAGAATGTCATATAGCTGGAATCGTACAGTATGTAGCCTTTCAGACTGTCTTCTTTCACTTAGAAATATGCATTTAACATACTTCCATGTCTTTTTTTTTTTTTTTTTGGCTTGATAACTCATTTCTTTTTATTGCTGAATAATATTCCATTGTATGGGTATACCAGGGTTTGTTCATACAATCCCCTACGGAAAGATATCCTGATTGTTCTTGCTTCCAGTTTTTGGCAATTGTGAATAAAGCCATTATAAACATCAGTGTGCAGGTTTTTGTGTAGACTTAATTTCTCAATTCACAAATACCTAGGAACATGATTTCTGGATAATATGGTAAGCTTATGTTTTAGCTTTGTAAGAAACTGCCACACTATGTTTCAAAGTGGCTGTACCATCTTGTATTCCCACCAGCAATGATTGAGAGTTCTTGTCACTTCACATCCTTGCCAGCATTTGGTGGTGCCAGTGTATTGGGTTTTAGCCATTCTAATAGGTGTATAGTTGTATCTCATGGTTGCTTTAATTTGCAATTCTCTAGTGACATATCATGCTGATCACCTTTTGATATATTTATTTTATATCTGTATATCTTCTTTAGTGAGGTGTCTTTTCAGATCTTTTGCCATTTTTAATTGGGTTGTTTGTTTCTTTCTTTTTTTTAAATTTTGTATTGCAACATATAAGGGAGTACAAATGTTTAGGTTACATATGTTGTCTTTGTCCCGCCTAAGTCAGAGCTTCAAGCATGTCCATCCCCCAAACAGTTGTTTGTTTTCTTATTGTTGAGTTTTAAGAGTTCTTTGAAGATTTTGGATACCAGCCTTTTATCAGATATGTGTTTTGCAAATATTTTCTCCTAGTCTCTGACTCATTTTTCATTCTATCAAAAGTTTTGAAGAAGTAAGAAAGCACTCCAGGGTTATGCTTAAATGGACATGGAAGAAAGACAACTTGTTGAAATTTAGCTGATAAATGTATTAAATATTAGAAAAGAACCTAAAATATTCCTGGCAGAATATGACCATAAAAGTGGACCTCTAGCTATCATAGGTAATTAAAAGAATATTGTTTTGTTACATTATTTTGTTTTGTTACATTGTTTATGCATTGATTGGCAGGGACATTTGGTAAGATGCTCAGGGATAGTAAAGATACTATTAACATTAAATTTATACAAGCAATGGCTCAACCAAATACTCTGGATTTTCATAGCTATACATGAGTCATTTTAGTTTCCGTTGTGTCCCATAAAATTCTTCAGTAAAACAAAATGTGTCAAATCACCATACTAAACTAAGAGGCCAGACTGTTTGCCCTTGTTTAAGAAGAGGTCGCCAAAGGACTTCTGCTTCATTTTCCTTTCTCCAAGGCCTGGGAGATTTGACTTAGAATCGAGCTGACCCAATCCCTGAGCCTTCACAGGCATCTTCTCCATATGTTGCTTTTAGAGGAAGGAATCACTTTTGGATCTTATCCTATGTAAGATGGCATTGTATTATTTTATTCCTGGTGGGGGTAAGCATCAAATATGACCTGGCAATAAACAGAACTCCAGAGATTTATGAACAGAAAGAAATGCCAGTGAAGGGACACGGGCACTGCACAAGGAAGGTAAATTGGCTGAGTGCAGTGCTGTGGAAGTCAAGGCAGGGCCAGGATCGAGGAGTCTGTAAAAAGTACCAAACCAGCCAGCAGGGTAAGGCCTGTAGCAAAGGCCATTAGATTTCCTCAAAGAAGATTTGGTGATCTTTGAGTCATTTCTGTACCTGAAGAGAAATAAAATTGTTTTCTTGACCTCTGAAAAGCACATGTGAACTTCCAACATAAATATTTTAACCACTTATTCTGCTGTAGTAAATAATTATTTTCATGTTTCTTTAACTGATGGAGCTGAAGGACATTATTATCATTTTTTTGAGTCACAGAATTTGGTTGTGTTAACTCAAAGTTCAGGCAGATCTTAGATCTCCTGGCGTACCTCCATCATAACTTACAACGTCCTGCTATTTCATTCCTGGCACCATATTATGCAGAGATGGCCAAATATGACAAATAATATATGTCTCTTTTAAGAGACCACTTATACTAATTTCAATGATCACAACATCCAAATATGAAATCATGTTATTCATTAAATCACTGCATGACCTAGTCCAAAGAAGCTCTGAAAAATAATACTTTTCCATTTACATGTGGCTGCAAATGTTGTTTACCTTACAGAAGACATAGCACCAGAAGAGAAGTAAATAGTTCGAATTGCCAAAACAGGAAATTCTATGCTAATTCAAAACTGTCACTGTATCTTTGTTTTTCAGGGTCTATGAAGCCAAAGCCTAATTAAAGTAGTATCTCTCACAACATATCTTGAGTTTCCTAACGATTCGGAAGCTTGGAAACACATTCAGTTGAAAATCATAAATAATATTTCAGTTTTAATTTACAAATAAAATTGCAAATCATGCTTATTTTTAATTTGAAAGCTTTTGATCCTTTCCTGTGAAAATGCAGCACTAGAACACATTTTCAAAACACATATGGCAATGTGTATGTAGGAAACTTTGCATTCCTCCAGGCAGCGATACTCGAGTGTCCACCGTGTGTACACTCACTGAGGACACTCAGGGCTACTTGCCCAAGGTCTTACCTTCTTGATGAGCCAAATGGTGTTTTCATTCAGATTTAAGCTTGGATTCTTTACTAGACCACACAGTTTGTGGCCCACCATGAATTATTCTTTATAAATCTTGTAATTTAATTATGAAAAGCACGATGATCCTAATAACTACATTTGTGTGTACATGTACCGTAAATGCCAAGTTAAGTATAAGATTTTTATTACTACTTTTGCATTTCTTCATGTTTAATATATGGTGAACTTAAAAAAAAAAAGAAAAATCCCCAAAACTCAGAAGCTGCTAGGTCCTCTTTCAGCCTACAAGAGGACCGGGATATAAGAGCGAACAAGAAAAAGTCCTTATCTTCCTGAATTGGATAGTGTGTGGAAGACTCATAAAAAAAAGAAAGAGAGATAAAGTAATCCCCATCATTGCCCTTCAGCACATTTTGTTATTGTAGGAAATCTGATTTTCTTAATTGATAAAAAGAAAAGTCAGCAGCTCTTGAAAAAGGACAGTATTACCTCCCTCCATTCCCTAAATGTAACATTTATATGCTGGTGAGAGATCAAATAAACAGATAATGGCCAGACCATATATCAAAATAGAACTCTGACTCACAACCTGCAGCAAACTGCTCAGGAAACCAACCCATTATCTATAACAACCAGCCCAGGAAGCCAGACTGCTACAACTCAGACTTACAGGAAGTCAGACTGCTTTCTCTAGTAACAATCCGTGAAGACCAACAATAGCCTCTGTAACAGTCAGCCCCAAATGGCCAGCACTTAATTAATAACTGACAGCTTCTCTAATTTTTGTCCCCACTTCCCACTTAGAACCAACCAGACAAAGCCAAATATGCACCCCTACCACTCACATAAGATGCCACCTGCAGCCCCCAAGCCACCAGCCTCTAATTAGGGCACACCTGAGGCTTCCTTTTTTTTTTTTTTCTACTATCAAGTTTTCTCACTCTTTGGCCTGCCTTTGAGTCTGCCAAAATGCAAGTGACGGTGGCTGACTCCCTTGCTATAGCAAACTCAGAATAAATAGTTTTTGCTTGTTTTCATTTTCTTGGTCTTGGTTTATTTCCACTCTGGTGATGAAGAGATAAGAATAGCTTGAGGTCTTTTCTGTATTTTAAAAAAGATACATGTATCAATAAAATAAAAGCAACCTAGAAATAGGTTCTCTGTGTTGCCCTTTGCAGTACACACTTTCTCCTGCGAATTCCTCCTGGTGGGAGGTTTTCTGGGGATGATCCTGCGCTCCTTGCGCTGTAGGAGGAAGTGCTTCCTCCCAGTCCGTGCTGCGCGGTGGCGCATGCTGTATACTGTTAGCGTTCCATTTAAATCAGGTCACTCCAGAAGATCATTTTTCAAAACGTCACACAAATCATCTGATGAAATCCACTTATTGTGTTCTCTAGGCCTAGCATAGTTCCTTGTTATCAAAGCAATACAATTAACTGGGGGAACAATTCATTATTTCAGACTGGCGGTCTAAAGGAATTTCATTTACCATGTCAAGATGATGCACAGACGCTGCAGGCTACAGAATTTACATCAAAATATACCAGTAGATTCAATAAAAATGCTGGGGATTAAATATATATTATAAGTTCTACCTTTCTGTACTTTTAGTTCTTAAATACTGGACACTATGATATTTAGATTATTTAAAT